CTAAAACAAACCATAAAGAGCACCAACTCTGAAGTGGCAGAAAACAGATATTCCACCTTGCAAAATCACTTCACCCCTATTGCCAGTGTCTTTTAGAGTTTGGCATCAAAAGGATGTCCCCTGGTGATCTCTGAAAAATAACATTCAACGTCACTTATTGCACTCCAAAATCTTCAGAAGCGTTGCAACACCATAAAACATCCACAACACAGAATGGCTGCAAAGCAAGAAAAATAAACCCTAAAATGTTCCTTTTTTCTGATGATTTTATTGGAGTACTTCATGATGAGGAAATAACATACTGTAATACAGTTTGGGAAAATGGTGGCATTGTAGCAATAATGAATTTAACAACAAGTCATTGTTATTAGAGCATTGTTGAAAGATGGAAGAAGTCTGCTAATTTACGAGTAAATAGAAATATGAGTAACTTAGTAAAATGTTGATTCAAGAGATTCCAACATATTTAGAAATACTTTTTCTCATGCAGACAAATTCAGTAAAATTTTACCACTTATCAAAGGTCTGAATATGCCCAATAAATAGGAAATACACATTTTTCTTCTTGTCGTGATTCACTAAGAAGAATACATTGTCTGAAAACTACTCACAGGTAGGTTAAACCTCAATCACCAGACACCAATTTTATCAAAGCTACTAGCAGAGAAACAGGAAATAGAAGAGAAAATGCTAGGAATCCTCATATTTCATCATTTAATATGGAGTCACACACCAGCTGCAGCCACTACTTGGAAGCTTACAGACCACTAGCATCCCCATAAAATGCCTTTTCAGAACCAGTGACAGAATCCATCACGAGCAGTGCTTCTTCCAAGCAACGATGTAGTTTCAGCTTCAAATGGACCCAAGCGTTGTTTGGCAACAGTGACAAGTGAAGAATACACCCTGAAAAATTATGGCTATGTTTATATTACTAAATTAAATACTCCAGGTGCCTGCAATTCAGTCATCAAGACTGTTAAATTGTTAGATGAGTTCATTGCATTATTTGGCCCAGGCCCCATAACACCCTTCCAAACAATTTCTGGGCAGACTTCAGGAGCTAGTGAAGACCAGGGACAACTCCCAGTGGGCATCTTCATCCTGTGCTGGGAGCCAAAGGAGCATAACAGCGTGGATGGGGGCCACACTGCTCCAGACAGCCTCGGTGCTGAAGCACAGCCTCAAGCACGTTTTCTTATTAATGTGAACTATCTGTACCAGGAGAGATTGAAAGGGAATGTCAGAGAGATAGCTTTACTAGCTCCCGTGTCCCTGCACTTTCTCTGTTATAGGGCATCCTCCATTGCCCGGTTAGGGCACTTTTACATACCATTTACATTGTGTTAAGATGTGCAAAACCTTATTTATACATATATGTATAGATTTATATATATGTGTGTGTGTATGTGCATATTTTGGCTTTGTGTACCCTAAACAACACAGTCCTTTACCACATGTCCAACACAGAGCACTGCCTTACAACATAAAAAGAGTTAGGCAACAGCAACTAATCACATTTGGAATTTAAGAGCTTAAAATAACAAAAATATGACTTGGAGAATTTTTTTTTTAAAGCTGTGGCATGCATTAAAATATTTGTTTTAATATATTCAGAATTTAATAACATTGGTCGACACTGTGAGCAAGTTACTTGCTGGTATAAATGAGCATTACTATATTCAGTGGTACAGAAGTAAATAAAAACATGAGTTCAAGTGATCTGCTCGGTGTTCTGGGTCTACAAATAAGAAATGGGCAAGTTTTACAGAGCTTGCAACAGAAGCGGATAAAACACTTACCCTGAATCATAAGTATGAACCCATAAAAATATTCACAAGCTGGGCATCTGGCTTTCCTGCATGTTATTGTTGAATACAAATATTTTAGACCTTTTTTTTTTTGTAGCACTGGTGTTTCTGTAGTATACAATATTTGATGCTGACTCTATAACTCAGGGTGAAACCAGAAATGCCCAAGTATGTGAAGCAATTTGTTCATTTAATTTGTTGTTTTAATCTTAATTAAAATGTATTTTATATGAATTTAGATTAATTGCCTCTTTTTTTGGTCTTTGGTTTGGTTTCATTCTGGGGTTTTTTTTCAAGATTTCTTAACTGATGTTATATATCACTTCAACTGGGCACAAGAGCACTGCTTCAACCACAAAACAGTTCATTAACTTAGCAGGAGGCGGCAACGTATTTCTCCAAACTCATATTTTTTTAAAGCTTCCTACTGTTTAAATATATGAGTGCGTTCTCCACAACCAGCTCTCTCGCCTCTCATTTCTTCCATGCTGGAAGCAACCACTGCGCTTCCCAGCTGGCATACATTTGGAATCCCTGTGATACCCCAATAAGGCAGGACTAAAGAGTTAATATCACTGCCAATTTAAAGTAGCTTTTGCAGTGCTGAGAAGAGCCTTTGGTCATTTGTAATCCTGGGAAGGAACTTGGAGAATGCATTGTTCTCCTCACCCTCATCCAAAAGGTAAACTTCACCTATTCTTAGAGTTGAAGGCTCTTCCAATTCCAGTGAGGAGCCAATGGACATAAAAGAGCCTCCAAGATGAATGGGAAGGAGGACGTCAGTATGTATAAGCCTGTGCAACAGCTGCAATAATTAGAAGAACCCCTGGGGCTAAGAAGATTAAAGTGCAGGACTTTCATTGTTTCAGTTAGACAGAGAGAAAGGGGCAAAATCCATTGTCCGAGTTTTTGCACTTTAAAACATTTGTAAAGGATTTTTTTCCCTTTGTCTATTTCCTCTCTGAAAGAAAAGGCAAGAAAGGAGTTGTCCTAGGAACAAATAAAGCAACTGGAAAACAGACTACAGCAGTATAATGTTGTCACTGAACATCTGGCAAACAAAGTCTGTGTAATTAGAGGAAGGAGTAGCAGCGTCTGCAAGAAAGCACTCAGAGGAAAGTAATTTGTAGCATCCAAAATTCACTTCTGTCTGAGCAAGAGAGAATGTCTTTTAATCATTTATCTCTGCCTTAGACCAGAAAAGAAAAACATAAAGTATTTCAGTTTTAACAAACTAGGGCTTCCACGGGTAAAAGCCTGGTTCTGTGGTTTCACACCTGTGGGTTGCAACTTTGCTTTATTACTTGCCAGGGCATTGTGCAGCAAAACCCCGTGGAACTGCAGGGGAAGGGCTCCTGGTATGGCTAATAAATTGCTGTTCACTTTCACTAGGGAGCTCACACTGCTGCAACATGCACTCTTGGAGTCACATAAAGCCTGAATCTCAGAAGTTGTCTCACACAGCAAAGAATATCTAAAGAGAAAAGATTATGATGGTAGCAGTTGTTATTTTGTTAATTTTTATGTTCAAACCTTAGCCACTGTGGTGCAGACCACTGAAATAACCACCAACCCACTGCCAAAGCTACCACAGAGTTTGGTGATTCTCCTTGCCTTTAATGCAGAAAACAATTTACATTACAAATATATGCCAAAATAGAGGTTACAGGACTGAGCACTGTATGAAAGGAAGGAACAGGGCAGCATTTTCAGCTTCCTACATGAATAATTCATTTGGTTCCTCATTCGAGGTTTTGCACCCATCTTCTGACCCCTGTCTTAGGCTTTGGCAACCTGAGAAGAACAGGTTCCATGTGTATCAGCAGGAGCTCCCTTGCCAAATGCCTCAGGGAACTTCTCATCATGGGGAGACAAAGTGCATACCAACCCCTCTGCTCTGTCAGCCCCGCTGCCTCCTGCTCTCCAAGGGACAGAGACTTCTTGCACTAACTCACACGTTGCTCCTCCGTGCAAAATCTTTGCATCCATCCTCACAGAGCAACGCAGTTGCATGCAGGTATATGCGAGCTCTTCTGACCAAGTTGGTCCAGAAAAGGAAAGTGATTGATGCTGAGCTTCACCTGTATTTTTCTCAGGGGAGGACTTCTTTACTAAATCTGTATTAATCTCTGAATACACAGTGGGATCACCTGTCCCAGCCCATTATCTCTGCACAGCAATGTACCAGGTCACACAGCATTCACTGAGGCCAAGACACTGCTACTTAAATTAAAATTACTTTAAAAAAAAATAAAAACACACAGCCTCTCAGAACTGTCCTCATACTGGGGGATGACCAACATCCTAAAACCAGTTTAGCCATTAGTACTGGTCTCTGTTCTACCATCCTGCATGTGAAAGCATGCCATGCGCTGCCTGGGCTTAGAGCTCTCCCACCGAAGGTCCTCCATCAGCCTGATGCAGAAACCCCGCCAGCCTGCCCATCGGCTGCCACGTTGCCAGTCCCTATGCGAGGGACACAGCAGCTTGATCAGAACATTTGCTTCCCTGTTCCTGATGTGCATTGCACGTAGACCCTGGGTCTTTCTCACCCAGAAATAAATTTCCCTCTCCCATCCTTTGATGGCCTCTACCCATTGTGCTCTTTCCTTCCCAGCTACAGAAGTCAAAGATTCCTTGGGATCCATGATGCAGGAGAGTAAAACACAAGTTTAAAAATGCAGCAGCCCATGTTAATTTAGTTAGCAAGGAAGCACAGAAGTTCAACATCAAGAGGCAGTAAGGTTTCAAGACAGATAAGTCTAAAAGATTAAATAAAAGCATCTCTTCAAATGCCATACTTAAGAGATAATGAAGGGGAGTTCTGGCTGTAGAGAGAATAAATCAATTATGTTGTCAACACACAATCTCTCAGAGCTAAAGCACAATTGAGTGGCAGCGTTCCCACATTGGAAATAACTCCCATTTATTATCATTATAATGCCTGTAAGAAAGAAGAGTTTGCATAAAAATGAAAATGTGAATTACCATCTACTCTGCTTCCCTAATTGCTGCTTCTTTCCATTAACAAGGTCAGTATTTTAAGCCTAGGATTTTCTTTACTGGCTTTATTTAAAAAAACCACAAAACCAAAAAACTAAAAAGACTAAAAAAGTCTCTCAGACTTGCAGCAGACTCAAACAGAAACTACCAAAATGAGGCCCATGAAAACAGTGGTCTCCCAAAACATCAGTAAGAAAAGGATAAAGTTCTCTCACTATTGGTAAAAAATATTCACTGACAAGATATGAAAAAAGAGCAACAAAACTGGAAGGATGCCATTTTCCACTTTGATCACTTTAAATCAAATCATCTCCAAGGAGGATAACAAAAAATCAGCTCAAATAAGTGGTTTGTTCAGATTTTTCTTTTTTATTACACTTGGTCATACATGTTATTTTTTATTGTCCAATATCATAGCACCACACAAAACAAGAATTTCATTAAATATTCAATTATGTTCCAGAATGAAGAGTACTGTTACTTTGCACTTCTAGGTCAGCTTTTTACAAGGTATCTCAAAACTATTTTATATAAGTGGAATTTGTTATAACTAGAGAGAGGGCATAAACATGGACATAGAGAGGTACAGCAACACTTTTACAAAATCCTTTCTGGGATTCAACTCACCAAAGTTTGCTTTGCCTAAAGGTTAGAAGTGCAGTCCAAACTAGTCATCTAAATCTCTCTAATCAGTGACCAAGGACAGGACTGCCAGAAAGCTCATCTCACCCAAGACTCTCATCAGAGAGAAGCTGAAGGTAGCACAAGCCTGCGTGTTTAGCTTAGACTATGCACACAACCTGAAATTGTCGAAAGTGAAATAAATCCCACCCTGACTTCAGGTTTCCTGATTTCAGACTTGGCATCCAAGTCAAGGTTGTGAAATTGTGCTCAGTAAGCTATTAGCAGGCAAGTGAACACTTGGGGACGATCTTCAGGAGGCATTAACTGCTGGTCATCAACCTCCACCTTGTTCCCAAATGTCTCCACTGAGATACAGTGAAAACCCACTGGTGTCCAAAAGCAGCTTAAAGCGGGAAGCTCGGTCTAAGCTACTGAGAGGGGAAAACCATCTCTCTTAAGTATCTGAAGGCTCCTGAGACCTGACATTTTCAGACAACAGTGGCAAGGAAACGACTAAGAATGAAGACCAAATAACATTAAGCATTCAAAAACTGTGAGGCCAAGGACTCCTAACGTGAGACAGTTTGACTTGTGGGTTTAATAACATCAAGAAGGGTCAGAAGAAAAGCTCAAAACACTGTAGGAAGATGAAACTACAAGAGCAGACAAAGGAAGAGTTGCTCCTGAGAAAAAGGGAAAATTTCAGAGGGATGTGCAGAGAAGGCAGAGAAGACAACACGTGCAAGGGAAAACAAATATGAATTACTTGTTCTGCATATTTCTCTTCTTGTAGGAAGTTGAAGCATATGACACTGTAATACTGTCAGATCCATTTTGAACATAAAATATCCCTGTCTGAGAGGTCAATGTAATTATAGCAGCAATCAGAGTGTAAGGAAAGCATTTCCCACAATTAGTAACAGGAAAGGAGGTATCTAGTGTGATGAACCTGCCCCTCTGCGCGAGCCTACAGACCTGTCGGCACTGGCGCTGTCCCCTGCCTTAAGGACAACTCTGCAGTTGCAATTAACAAGCAGGGCAGGCATCTGGCTGCCCCAAAACTTCCTGCGTGGGCTAAAATTAAGTGTTTCACTCCTCTCTCTTACACTTTCACCAGCTGTAAAATGAAAATAGTAACATATAGGGTACAGTTCACTCTAACTCCACTGATCTTAGAGATGAAATATGCAAAGCACCTGATAACCCATGTGAATGGGTGCTCTCGCTTGATTTCAGGATTAATAAAGGCATGTAGCACAGCACATAACATGGTTACTTGCAATACCAAAGGAGTTAGATTAAGTGACCCAGCATGTCCTTCTAGTCCTACATTGCTATGACCTTCCCAGATCAGATCCCCAGGACTGTACACACAACCGAGTCACCCCGGTTAGTAACGCAAACACAACCACTCTTATAACCCTAGTGAAAACAAGGCAGATCAGACTTAGCTTTAAGCTGAGGTGTTTAAACAGAGTTCAAATCAAACTATTTCACCTCTCTCACAAGCTAATGATGCACATAAAGGTAAGCACTGCTCAGCGGATACAAGATACCATGTTAAGCCACAGTGTCTTGGTGATGTCTGAGCTCCCAGTGAACAGAATATAACCAGATATTGATACCCAAGTAGTTGGCATAGGTTGTGCCTATAACCAAAGCAAAGAACAAGCACAGAATTATGGCAGATCCTGCCATTCTTTAGAAAGATTTTACCTGTCAAAAAAGGATGTAGTAGAAATATGCAATGTAGAGACAAAGGCAACATAGGTGATTAAACATGTATATCTTACTTGTGAATAACAGCTATCTTAACCAGCTGTGGTTAAGTGGTGGCTTAACCAGGAGTCCAGCTGTGGACACTAAAAACTTACATACATTGAAAAAACAAATGGCCAAAAAAAAAAAAAAATCTGTGCAGGATTGTCTAACATAAAGCCATCACCTGGTTAATGAGGTTGTAGTGGAAAATATGGGACTTGAGCATAACGTAGATGGTATAGAATAAGGGGTGGATACTGTCCTGGTTTTGGCAGGGATAGAGTTAATTTCTTTCCTAGTAGCTGGTACAGTGCTGTGTTTTGGATTTAGGAGGAGAACAATGTTGATAACACACCAATGTTTCAGTTGTTGCTGAGCAGTGCTTACACTAGTCAAGGACTTTTCAGCTTCCCATGCTCTACCGACTGAGAAGGCTGGAGGTGCACAAGAAGCTGGGAGGGGGCACAGCCAGGACAGCTGACCCCAGCTGGCCAAAGGGATATTCCATACCATGGGACGTCATGCTCAGTATATAAAGCTGGGGGAAGAAGAAGGACGGGGGGGACGTTTGGAGTGATGGCGTTTGTCTTCCCAAGTCACCGTTAGGCGTGATGGAGCCCTGCTTTCCTGGAGATGGCTGAACACCTGCCTGCCCATGGGAAGCAGTGAATGAATTCCTTGTTTTGCTTTGCCTGCGTGCACAGCTTTTGCTTTACCTATTAAACTGTCTTTATCTCAACCCACGAGTTTTCTCACTTTTACCCTTCCAATTCTCTCCCCCATCCCACTCTGGGGGAGTGAGCGAGCGGCCGGGTGGGGCTGAGTTGCCGGCTGAGGTTAAACCATGACACCCTTTGGTATCAGCTATTCCTGCTTTCATTGGAACAGGACACTGTGACAGACAGATCTTTTGTCTGAAATAGTACAGACATGAGTTTGGTTTTGGCCTAACTTGCGAGGAGCGTAAATTAGGCAACAGTTGATTATATTAAAAACATAATCTTCTACTCAGAACCTATATAAGTAATCCTATGGCAAGGTAGAATTCGATGCTGAAGCATTTTGAGTCGAAGCACCAAAATACAGGTTTGTCGTATCAAAGAAGGCAGTTTTGTATTTACATCCCATCTTCCTGGTAAAGCCAGTATTTATACTGTTGTTAATAACACATAAATCTGACTTTCTGAACTTCAGAAGTTCATTTGCCATCTAAAAATAACAAATTAACTGTATATTTACATGTAAATTATCAAATTTGTTTGTTGTGATAGCTACACAGAAAAAAAATAGATGAACAATTATACACATCTTTTGTAGACAGTCTTGGTCTTGAGACTCAGGCAAAAAAAAATTAGGCATTGAAAGTTTTACTGTTTACTTTCAATGACTAATACCAACTGTTCAGCTTGTACAGCTTAACCTGGGAAAAAAACTGTATGCTACAGAGAAAATTAGTCTTTCTTAGAAATCCCATTTTTCATTCACAATACATTCCATCACTGGTAAAATACATTCATTTGGTGCACAATGGGTTCAGCTGCAGTTTTATATTCCTAACATACCCAAAGGAAAGGATAGAAATAGCAATTACAGGTTGGGTTTTTTTTTTCTTATTCAAGTTAGCTCTCCCAGTTATCTTACTTGCAAAAGTTCATTTGAAAAATAAACAGCACAGCTGTCTAAGCTTATCTACCTGGTTTCATTGATGCTGGAATGTGCTTTCTGTTTGAAAGTTTCAAATGAGGGAATGTCCATAAAACAAATGGAAATCCTGAAAATATCTAGAACTCAAGTTCTGCATTGGTTTAAAAATACCCAAACAAGCAAGCATACAAACCCTATAAAGTTATCCTAATAACACAAGAGCAATTTCACCTACTTCAGCAGTATGATGCAGATAAGCTTTGGCCTACTTCATTTGGCCATTTCTGAGAAATTTATTAAATTAGACTTAACACACGTAACAGTGTTGGCACTTAAAGAAAAAGGTGAATGTTGTTTTCTGAAGCTTTAGTAACATTTCTTCCCACACCAAAATTGCCCCACACAGGGAATTTTGCAGAAGCTTCCTACCTTTAATAAAATGCTTCTGCTTCACTTTAGGGTTAAGCTATATGGTCAAGCAAGTACTACCTGAGCCAGAGTTACCACTTTTTCTGCACACTTTTAATCCACTGAGACACTAAAGCAACACATGCCTGCTCAGTCCTCAGAGAGAGTGCTACACAAATGCATTTTATGTTTCACTTGTGATGAGCATAAAATGTGCAGAATAGCAAAACTGGTGATAATTTTATCAGGACTTCATGGGTTGCGCTGCAAGCACCAACCCCAGCTCCACCCAGGGTAGCTGACCAAAGCACAAGTGCTGAACCATGCTAGCCATCAGCTCTGAACTTACCGCAATTAACGTGGAAAGATCTCCCCACACCACGCTAACAACAAGGCAGCGAAGAATGCACAAAAAGACTGTACAGAATACCACGTCTCTCCAATTGTTATTACTTTGGGATGCAGATTCAAAAAGGCAACATAATGGAAATAAATTACATTTGGGACTAATGTTTTTGGGGGTTTGGTGTTTGTTTTTTTTTTTTTTTAATTAAAGTGAAATCACACCAAAAAACCCATAAAGCCTTACTGAAATGAGGGCAGAAGATCCGAGCAGCAACATTCACATGAAATCCTTATGAGTCTGATAAATGGTATTTGTTTACTTAATGTAAAAAATAGAGAATGGAGTGCACAAATGACAATCTAACAATGCTATTTACCATTTGGGTCAAGATCTGGCTTTTGCCCCTCCTGACATTTTGACATTAAAGCAATCATGGAAAAGAACAGTTGCAGAAAGAAAATGGAGTGTGTGAAATTTTCTTTCAATTAAAAAAAAATAAATCTGATCCGTTCATCTCATCGCAGTGTTTTGCAGGAGCACTAACTACAGAAGTTGAAGTATTGCCATAAATCATCAGATATTTTATTGTAGTAAACATCTGCTGCTCCTGGATATGTAGTCAGGGGAGCACTTGAAAAGGAATAAAGAATGCCAGGTACACTAGTTACTGAAAAGTAATCTTCAAACCAGGATTTCTTTTGCTTTTGCCATTAGGACTAAACAGTTTATGAAGTTATACAGACATTAATGGTTACATTGATTTATTGTATTTCCAAACTAAGACCACACCTTCAAAACCTTTCATTGAATCAATGCCAAAAGACTGTTCAAGTTAGGTTAAGCATATTGGAATTATTGTGAGCAGTATTAAGCTCACAAAAAAAATCTTAGCCAAAGCCATAATTTCCAGCAGCTGATATTAATGTTTGTTTTGGGATTCAGTCATTTGAGTAAATACTGAACTTTCAAAAAACACCTAAGTGCAAAGGAGTGCAAGGCAGAGTCCAAACTAAGGCTCACAAGAGCTGGTACATTCACACAGCACAGTGTTGTTCTGAGCATGCAGAATAATTTGGGTCCAGAATTTGCATTTACATGGCACAGAGCCTGGGCTAATATGTCCTGCCTTTCAGCACAGTCTGTTAGCTCAGGCTCAGCACCAAACTGACAGGGCTATACAGCACCAGGCTCTGGAGCGGTCTCTACGTTGTACTTATCGTGCTGTATAAGCAGGCTCCTAGGAGAGAAACACCTATAGATCAGATGCTCCTTTTGCCACTTACATGCTTTTGAAAGTCCTGTCTCTTCTGTGTCTTTACACATACACTTCCCCCCCTCAAAGTTTTGGAGGCTATTTCCTTGTAGTGATGGCAAGCAAACTCTTAGCCCTGGATCCTCCACATGGAAGAACTTTAGCAGCCACCTCCCTACTTGTTTTCCTGCAGCTTCTGCCAGATGGGTTTCCTCCTACCTATCCAACCTTTATTACTGGGACAAAAGAAACTCTTCTCTTGTGCCTGACATGCCTATCACAGAAAAAGCAGCTCCCAGTTTTGTTGGCATTATGGTTTTGTACATCAAGTGGCAAGACAGACCAACCACAGATCCAGTAGCAAGGCAGTTGCTTCTTTTCATGCCACACAAACTGATAAAAAGAAATTGCTTCTGCCTGCTAAGTCTGTCTTCTTGTAAGGACACTGACATTTTCAGACAGATGTATTAGTACAACATGTATCATGTTTCAAAAGGGCTGGTTTGAGAAAACTTTAGAGTAACCTCCCCAAAGGTGTAAGTGAGAAATGAGAGAGCTACAGATTGGAAAAGACTCATAAGAATAAATAAAAGACAGAAAGAGAATGGGGAGAATGAACAGTTAAGGAAGGGCAAATTGTTAAAGACACTCCTTTAAATGCTCTCTAGTTATACGTTCATTACTAACTTTTACTGTTTTAACTGGAATCACTGTTGACTACAAACGAAATAGATAAGTCCTTACCCTCAACAGCCAATGATACAATGCCTTGTGTGTCTTCAACTCCGTACATAACATCACAGCGATACACCCCTGCATCACTTGCACGCAGCTTAGAGAAAGTCAGCGAAGCGTCACCAGTCTCCTCTGAATGGGTCGGAACAGACACTCTGTCTTTGTAGCTTTGACCTATTTTGATGTTGCCATTTTGGGCCACCAGGACTGTGGTTTCTTTTGCATCTTTTCCACTTTTATCCAGTTCAACCTTTGACCATTTGATTCGAAGATACTCAGCTGCATAGCTGGAGGCTATAGTGGGTGTGGTTGAAAAGAAGCATGGCAGGACTGAAGTTCCAGAGAGAGATCCCTTTACCAGGGTTTTTTTTTCTGCTTTAACTAGAGAAAGGGGAGAGGAGGGGAGAGAAAGGAGAAATCACATTAGTGGAACAGCAAAATCAGAAACAGATACATTTCATTGTTATTTAACGATTCACAGCTGCAAGACCTGAAATCCATGAACCTTAGCTGATTTGTAACAGGACTGATTAGTATAAGCTAAAAAAGAGTTTGCACCAATATCCTAGGCTGCTGATGGAGCCCTTTTCTGTTTGGGCAAATTTAATTCACTGCTCTCTAACTTATTTTCTCCATTTGTTATAGACAACAAGTTATTGACCTTCTTCGGAAACTGTTTTGAAATTTTAGATGACAGATGAACTGTAAAAGCTATGGGTTTTTACTTCATAGGAGGAAGACCACTCTGAGTGAAGGATGGTGAGTTACCTCGCATCTTTTGCTGGCCGAAAGCATGCATACAGGGGAGCTACTGATGTTTACACCTTGTCTTACCTCACAGTAGCTTGTCCATTTGCTCCTGTCCTAAGAGTAGAACATAGCCCATGACTTTGCATACATGACATCCCTTACTCCATTATTCTTTCAAGAGTTAACTCTTTTTATTACATACGTGCTGAAACAAAAGCCTTTCCAGTGAGATTCTCCCAAATAGTCATTCTTTTAAAATTACTTCCCTGTAGCCCCAGGGACTTTAACACGCTGCAGAAATAAAGTATTTCAGGATGTTCAAGCAAAGAAGGAAGTAAAGCGCACAGAAAGTCCCTACTTGGCTCAGACTTGACATGATAGGACCTTTATCATTTTTTATGACATCTCCAGCTGCAAACATTTTACAGTGAAATGTTTCCATCTGACAATATCCTGAGGGGAAAGTTGACTACTGTTCATCCAACCTGCACACAGCAGCTGTCTGAAGAGAGGATTTCTGTTAGATTTATTTTTTTTATGTGATGTTATTTCACTATACATAATGGCTTAATGAAGATTAAAAGCTGATGCACAACAGTATCTATCTTACCTCTTTCACTATCCTGCACTCTAACATTTTTTGAAAGGCAGAACATGCTGATCATTAATTTGAAGTGAGCTAGTATTCACAAAGTTTAGAAATACAATAATTTCAAATACTTGTGACCAACAGAGTGATACATGAAATAGGAGACACCAGCACATGAAAATTATCTACCTATTTATCTATCATCAGAAATATCATCTCTCCATAAAGAGTAGAAGATGGAAGAAAGGGGGGGGGGGGGGAAAAAAAAAAAAAAAAAAAGAGAAGGGAAAAAAAAAGGAAAAAATTGCTCATTAAGTTTATTATTTTTAACAGAGATAGATGGCTTTATACAGGATACAGTATTAATAGTATTATCTAAAAAGGTTCAATACAAGAATCATCAGCTTGATGGCCAAGCATTTTAATAATAAAGTACTAACTGGAAAAACAAACAAACAAAAACAGACTGACCAAGAAAGACCCAGAAGTTTGAATAGAAGTCCTCAGGTCCTTTCCATCCATGCCTACCTAACTAGAAATTCTTGGGAACACAATGCAGATACACTCAAGATAACTGTATCAAAACTGATTAGACCAGAGACAGTATAACAGCAATGGGGTAGTGCTGTGCCAAAACAGCTGCTTTGCACCCAAAGCTCAGCTGAAAAGTTCACATGGAATGGCACTGTCTGTGCACATTTACCAGCAAGATGCCCACTCTGTGATTCAGGCATGCGGTGAGATTTTCATTCTTCTATTAACTTGTAAACAGAGACTGGTGATGACAAAACTCACATTTAATAGTCAAACTAATCACTTCATAAACTTTGGGCACAGATCTAGCAAAAATCTATTTGTAAAACAAATTTGTAAAAAAAAATTTTTGTAAAATTTGTAAAACAAATTTGTAAAGGGAAAGACAAAAACAGGTCCAATATAAAAGTGAAGATTGGAGAATTCACAAGGCTTGAAGACAAGCCGGTAGAAGCTACTGAAGACTAAAGATTAGCTCAAAAGCTTTGACTGCATACACATTTCTTAAGGAAAAAAAATTCCATTGAGGGTTTTTTATTTCCATAAGGAAATAAAAACTCAACTCACCTAGAGTCAATTGATTGCTAAAAACTAGAAAGGACTGATTGTATCCTGAAGATGTACAGTATTGAAACACCACTGCCTTTTACATCACCTTTAATTTCTTGAAACTTCACTGAGTTACAGTGGGGTAGAGATAAAGAAACAGAATGAATACTCAGTCCTATCAGTTGTGATGGAATTACTGCCAAATTGCACAGGTGGGAGATTAAAATCAGTCTCAAAATATTTAGTATTTATTATGATCTCTTGTCATCTATATACATTACAGGAACTTCTTAAATGAAAAATGACCTAGTTATAATTATCCTGACTGACAGAATTTTAATAAACTTTTGAGAACATTGTTTCTGGTTATGAGTGATCTGGGATATCAGCACTGAACCCTGAGGAAATTTCCACTCTTTAAAATTTGTGTCTTCACATCAGCAGATTGAAACCCTTGGCAAACAACACATATCATCATGATATGCAAACTAGATCTATCCTAAATTGGGCTACATCCCAGAACAGGAGACCATGTAGCTACAAACGTGCCCATCTAACTGTAGAAAGCATTATAAAACACTATAGAAAAGCACTCTTTGTTTTGATGAGAGGAGGGGGGAAAAGGAGGGGGGACAAGGAGGGGGGGACAAGCTTTTCCCTACTGAAAAAAAAATATATATATTTGGCACTGAAACATAAGATTAAGTGATGTTCCTGCACGGTTCCAAAAAGCTTGATTTCTTGCAGCAGTCCAAGTTGTTTAGTCAAGCAGAATCCCCACAACTGGCCAAGGCAGAAAGCATCAGTATCTTCTATTAATCCATATAGCCCTTCTGTTCCTTTAGCATTTTACCTATGCACATACTCCATGTTATGTCTCCTTTTCAGCCAGTATCAAAGGTATGTGATAGACTATTCCTTACAAGGAACATGAAGGGCAAAAATACGAACAAAACATTTTGTAACTGTCAGTTGGACACAAGCTGAGAAAAGCAGGTATTTGCCAACATTATTTTATACCATATCTCCACCTCGCCATGTAGGACCTAGAATACTTGTAACATCATGTACTCTTAAACAAGAGGATGGTTTTGAAATGACTAAGCTGGTTGGCAATTAATATAAGCAGTCTTTTCTGTTGCTAACTAGTATGTATCACTCATGGATAATTAATTAGGAAAAATACATAGAGAATAAAGAAATAAAATACACAGGTAAGTCCAAATCACCTGGCCACAAACACATGTCTTGGCAGAACTCCCAGCAAAGTCAATGGGAGATGATGGGACTACAGAGTCGGGCCGAGAGCAGCACAATGCAGTCAGGTTACGGGCAGACTCAGTAGATAGCATGCCTTAGCAGTTGGGTATTTTTGTTGTCTTCCCCTGTTTGAATATTAAATATCTCCAGCATCAGAATAAGTAGCAGGAACAGAATGCAGAATGAAAACTCCAATGCAATGTTCTGACAGAAGACAGTCCTGTCAGGTCTAACTTACTGGGTAGGATTTTGCCACAACTTATTACTCTTATTTTCTCCAAACCTAAAGCTATGGCTATGCATTTGTATCAGTTTATCATGGGGATGATGGCATGTGGCACACTCCTTCTTTAAAAAAATAAAAATTAAAATTCCAGCTTGCCTTTTCATGCTTTTTGTCCCCATCAAAACCTGCCTTAGGTCCTCCCAGTCTACCATTTCAGCTGCAAAGTCGGCTTATCCTACCAATGACACATAGCTTGATAACTTTCTTTTGAAGTGGGAAACAAGCTACAGAAGAAAGT